TAAGCTGATGGTTACCCTGTATCTTATGGTGACGAATGTCCATGAAGAAGAAGAAGAAGAGAAGAAGAGATTGGATTTATACCCCGCCCTTCACTTGGAGTCTCAGAGCGGCTTACAAACTCCTTTCCCTTCCCCTCCCCACAACAGACACCCTGTGAGGTGAGTGGGGCTGAGAGAACTCTGACACAACTCAGGAACAGCTGTGCCAGAGCTTGTGACTGACCCAAGGTCACATCAGCAGGTGCAAGTGGAGGAGTGGGGAGTCAAACCCGGTTCTCCCAGATTAGAGTCCGTGCACTTAACCACTACACCAAACTGGCTCTCATATTATGACATAATTGCACACTGTTGCAGTTACAATCACTATCTATCTAGTACATTTTTATTCCTCCCTATCTCCAAAGAGCTCAGGGTGGCCACATCATTCACCTCTCTTCCAATTTACCTGTACAACAACCCTGTGAGGTAGGTTAGCCTGAGAGTGAGTGCCTGGCTCAAGGTCACCAGTGAACTTCCATGGCCGAGTAGGGATTTGAACCAGGTTCCCCTACTCCTAAAGAGCTCAGTGGCAGAGCATCTGCTTTCCATGCAGAAGGTCTCAAGTTCAACCCTCAGCATCTTCAGTTAGAAGGAACAGACAGGAGGTGATATCAAAGACCTCCACCTGATACCCTGGAAAGATGTTACCATTCGGAGTAGACAATCCTGACCTTGATAGACCAGTTAAGTACAAGTGTAAAAGCCAGCTTCATGTGCTTATACTCTAACCACTATTCATTCATTTATTTATTTGAAACATTTATATGTCCCCAATCCAGAGACCTGTTTGAGGAAGCTCACAAAATTAAATAAGGATAAAATCATAAAAAGTACAAAATCAAACTATTAAAATCTCTGCATAAAACATCCAGCAATGTAAAACAACAGCAGCAGCACAACCTTATAACTTACGGGGACTAGAAGCAGATTGTAAAAAAAGAAGTAAAATTTAAGAGCATTGGTAATGGCCCTGACCTGGATGGCCCAAGCCAGCCAGATCTCAGAAGCTAAGCAGGGCCGACCCTGGCAAGTATTTGGATGGGAGACCACCAAGGAAGTCCAGGATCACAACAAAGAGGCAGGTAATAGCAAACCACCTCTGGATGTCTCTTGACTTGAAAACCCTACCAGGGGTTGCAATGAACCAGCTGTGACTTGACAGCAAGACAGACACACAGAGAGGAATGGTTTGGCCTGGTATCTAAAAGAGAGTGGGTAGCTACTCCACAGTTGCCCCAGATGAGGGCTGCCAGGTCTCCCACTGGCAGCCCTTGTTGCCCGCTGCCACTCCAAAAGGTGGCTGGAGAAAAATATATATTTTTAAAATGCCCATGTTCTGTGCAGTGTGATGTCATTTCTGGGGAAAACCCAGTAGTGACATCACATTGCTGTAGGAATCACCAGAAACTCTATTGTTTTACCACAAGATTTTTGGTGATTCCTAGAGGGACATGGCATCACTTCCGGGTTTTCATGGAAGAGATGTTGCAGTGCACATGGATGCTGTCACCCCACTCTTCAAGCTCTCAGCAGTTGCCAGGCATGGATGGCCTAGCAACCCTGCATCAGATTCCTTTTTGCAAGCAAATGAATGGCTCTGTGGGGGACAGTCTGCTAAGCTATCAAGGAAAGAACAAAGATTATGGAAGACAGAAAGCAAGATAAACAGTTCTGTTTACTGGGATTCACTGTGATCAGCAGGTTCACCATCACTACCATGTCCTATTTCTAAGCTTCCTATGTGGGTTTTTAAATGCAAACATGTTCCTTTCTTAATCAAAGGCATAAATGATGCTTGCTTTTCTGCCATCGTTCTCTCACACCTCTCCATCCTACTCTGCCTTGCGCAAGCGTTTTCAGGCCACGTGTGGATCACCAGCCATTTCTCTCCTGAAGTTTCCTTTATGGAGTTGCGGTGAGGCCTGTTGGATTTGCCAGCCCTCTCTTGAGGTGCTTCACCATCCTCATCCTTCCCCGAGCCTGTCCAGTATAGCTTTATTTGTTTCTTTCCAATCCAGTATACTTTATTAGACTCGTGTCAGACAGGGATTGGGATATTTGTGTTCAAATCCCCGTCCAACCATGAAGTTCACTGGGTGACTTAGGGGTCAGTCTCTGTCTTGCTACCTAACCTACCTCAGAGAGTTGTTGTGAGGATAAATGGACAAGATGAGAACCATATATGGCAGTGATGGCGAACCTTTTAGAGACCGAGTGCCCAAACTGCGACCCAAAACCCACTTATTTATCGCAAAGTGCCAACACGGCAATTTAACCTGAATACTGAGGTTTTTCTTTAGAAAAAACAACTCATACTTTAACTTAAGATGATCCAAACAAAGTAAGGAAAGCAATCCCAAATGCTTTCATTTGCTTAAAATTATTCGGCAGAGAATTCGACACTTTAATGATGGTCTGGGCCTGGCTGGGGCGATGGCACGCATGCCCACAGAGAGGGCTCTGAGTGCCACCTCTGGCGCCCGTGCCATAGGTTCGCCACCACTGATATATGGCAACCTGAGCTCCTTGGAGGAA